TTTAGATGTGTCAGTAATTCCGCCGTATTTGCTAATCGGAAGTCATGATAAAAACTATATTTTTGGGAAAATGTTTCGTTCGTCTTCAGTTTTAGTGTAGCAACAACTGTGAGATGGTCTGAACTCCCAAGTGCGTCTAGAGATGACACTGAAAGTGGTTCGCACCCCCTACAGAAAATAATGAACGAGGTCACAATCCCTACTTCTCCTCATCCCCTCCCCACCCTTGAAGGCGCACGTGCGGTAAACTGGCAATGAAATTGGAGTAAATGAATGCGGCAGTAAGGCGAGGTGATTATCTTTTGCAGTTTACTCCTGCTACTGTGTACCAAAACCTGAACACGTAGCTGCATCCTTAAAACAGACTCAAAGGTTATAGGAGTCGCGATGGCGGTACGTTAACTAAATTGACTGACCCATGAATTTCCACCGGATTACTGGGCTTAACCCAATTATCACTGAAGGATACAGACTAATAAATCAGCGAGTGTCGTTATGCCATGGCGTATTAGCTGCAAGACGGGAGGCGGTTACTGAGACGTCGACTTAGGCGAACAAACCAGAACACGTATTGTTAAGAAAAGGTGCGTCAACTGCAAGAGACTTCTGAATGCAACTTTAGGCTCTCCACTCTCCACCGATGACCTCACATACTCGCAATGCTAGATACCTTTTTTATTATTCAGGAACGACTTCATAGGGCATGAGTGGTTAAAAGGAAAAAGGTTTTCACCACGTGGCATGCACCGTTCTCCAACTTACTTGAAATAGCACGTTAAGTAAAAGTAGGAACCCCTGCATGTCACCAATCTGCCCTCTCTCCTCTACTTATGACAGTGAGTCCCTTCGATCCGAGAAACATCCTGGCCGGGCGTCACCCTTTTAAAGTGGGCATTACCCGGCCTCACATCCATCAAGGGCGAACTGTCTACAGTTCTCTAACAAGAACCATAATATCGGTCCCAGACTGACGTGGTCGCCCTAACGTCCACATGCCACACAACTCGCTTTTCTGACTTCGATTTCACTTCCGACTGTGCCAGCTAGGAACACAGTAGATCGACAATAGGGGCGTGAACATGACTGACTGGGACCTTAGATATATTGTCCAAGTGATTTGTGAAATCAACCCCATTCCACAATTACAGTATGTTACCACAAGAAATCTCAGAGTTGTTTAGGAATGCTCACCAATCGCTAACGGAACTCAATTGTCACTCGTGGTACACCGTCTGGGGTCAGGTAAGACGACCTGATGACGGCGTGTGAGCCAGAAATGACAATTCCAGTCTCCCAGAGTTTTACTTAGAACAATTGTGAGGCCTATGAGGTTCTATTCAGTCAGCGAATCCAAAGCACTACACGGTAATCCATCACACTAAACCGTACGAAGACACTTCACTCTGTAAATGCTTAAAAGGTGGGTTGGACGAACACTTCTCAAGACGCCCCATCCTTTGTCACCTCCACCACACAGGTGCCGCCGATGCTAACTGATCACCGTGCTCTACCACGATCGACGTTTTCGTCGCATGAGGGTAAGCTACCCGAAATTACTTACAGATAAAGGTGTTCGTTCCGTAGTTCAACCCTCCAACCGCATTTCGGGCTGTAAACATGAGGGCGGCGGTGATTGAAACATTCGGATAACAGTCCTTTCCTTCAGTTGCACCGTTACCGTAAAGTGATAGTTCACACCTAAGAGTAAAATCCTTTGATAACTCGAGCGATATATTCATCGATTGTGAGTCACATCCTACCCAACCTATTCTTGGTTCTATGCGGTGATGGTCTCATCTGAAATTGCGGAAAGAAGGGACAGTTACTGTCATATACTGTTGACGCAACCCAAATACAATATGGCGAGTGCTGCAAGAAACATTCCGCAATTTGAAAAAGACCGGTTATCACTCGCAAAACAACATTGAGTAGGGTTGCAATACTGTTCATCATGCAGTCCAATTTCAATTATTTTCAGTCACGCTAGGATGCCGACTCTGTGACAAGTAAGTACGCGTGAGTTTGACTGTTTTACCATCACGAAATAGACACTGATTGTTGGTTAATCTAAACCTAAATATTGACAAACGTATGATCGGAACGACGCATGTGAACGGCTAATCAGAGACAGTGTATATACTGGACAGAATGGGCGTAGGAAACACAGTTCCATTCTTTTCAAGATCGATATCAGCCAACTCCAGTCAAGCGATTGCCACATCTATGAACAGAGGGCACGCCAGATTAAATTTCCATCGAATTGTATGATGGCAGAAAACAAGGCGTCACTCTCGAAATTCATGTGGAAAGATATTTGTGTAAGTTAAGCCAGTGGTAAATTTGGGAGCCCGAGCGGGACCCACTGTGCAAGACATTCGAAAAGAGTTGCATATGCAATATGTGCTATCGGCGAAGATAAAATTCGCTCCCTTTCCCGCTTTCATTGCTTCATTAATACTCAGCTTGTGGATTCCGATTTAGTGAAGGATTTCTAGCGAACCTATCGCAGTTAATAGGGAAGATCCTTGCCTCTGCGAGCTTCAGGCTCGGTTTCAAGTGGGAAGAGAAGTGGAACGCCAGATGGGAGGAATAGTATATTCTGTGCAGAGGTAGTGGAGAATAGGTTGGAGGAAGTTGACATTCGGACGAGTGCACAACCACCCGCGAGATAACGGGTGTCCGAAGTATGTGAGTGCGCCAGTCGTCAGAGTAAGATCCTGTGTGAGTCAGCCTCAAGGAGGTTATTGGCCAGACCGGATTGGGGTAGGCAGACACTGGTGCGTACGTGCCAACAGTTGCGAGAGGTTGAACGTTGCATTCAGAGATTGGTCACTAAAAACCCGCCCCCCTAACCGAAAATTTGGTTGCACCTAGTAAGGCCTCTCTTGATGACTGCAGTCTACAAACGAAAGCTGACTAGTAGTCAATCAAGTCTGATTAAAATGAAGAACTCTGTGAAACTTCAAAAGAAGAAGAGAGGAAGACGATTCGATCGCTGGGACAATACTTTTATTCGCCTGACGTTTCGAGATCCGTCGTGGATTCGTCATCAGAGACATAGTAGTAGCAGGTAGGATAACATATGCACAAAAGTTTGCAGTATTTATAGAATACAGTCATTACTGCAAACATACAGCGACAACCGTAATTGCCTTCTTGAGTGTTGATGGTCTGTTGAACGGCAGTCTATATATACTGCAAACTCTTGTGCATACGATACCCTACCTGCTACTACTCTGACTATGTCTTTGATGACGAATCCGCGACGGATCTCGAAACGTCAAGCAAATAAAAGTATTGCCCCAGCGATCGAAGTGTCTTCTTCTCAATTACTTCCTGGGACTCGCCTGTTCGCTTGTATTGCAAAACTTCTAAAAGTTCTGTGTGGTTGTTAAAAAAGGTTGCTCTAATGATGCGACTTCAACTGACGATTTACCCAGGGGAAAGCCAGTCAGTGGCACAAAGGACAGAATTTGACCCCTAAACCACAGTTCATATCGGAGAGACGGGACATAAGGTCAAATTCGGGGACATGGGACCAAAAACGATAAAGTTAGAGCTCGACTTCCGGGTGCTGAGTCAACCCACCGACACACCACCTCAACGCTTGCAGCGGATTCATTAAAATGAATTTCAAAAAGATTGCACAAAGCGACTATAAATGCTGTTTGTGATGTTCAGGGTACAAACTGGATACTCTCCTTCCATGTAGGTTACTCAAACACTTGCTCAGGCACTTAAAAACAAGAAAGGACAGCGGCAACTACAAACACAAAGAAGTCATTGAGAAGACAGCTATATACCAAGTGGGGATAGAGGGAGGCAGTGGGCGAGGAGTGTAGGCGGGAAGGGAGAGGAGGGGAAGGAGGAAGAGGACTACACACGAAGTCAGTTCATAGGCTCTGTAGGAGAATATATGGACAGCTGGTCGTAGAAGGCCGAGGGCAGTCTATGCATCAGCGACCAGGAGAGCGAGGGTGAGTAGCAGAGTGCCCAGAAGGTCACCGAGTCCGGTTGTGATAGAAATTGCCATCAAGTCGAGGGAGGCCAGGCGCCCTGCGGCGTCGGCAGTGGTGGAGGACTTGGCCAAATACAACCAGTAGTGTGTGATGAGCCACCGAGAGAAATTTAGTAGCACAAAGATCTATAAAACGAATAAGAGCAAAACCGTGCAGAGGAGTTGCAGAAAAAGCAGGACTCTGCAATCTGTGCACTGACTGAAGATCAAGGAACAGGATTATCGCCGAGCTGAAGTCATGAAGGTTCAATCAGACTACGCCATGAGGTGAGTAAATATCTTAAATGCTGTGTGGGTAATACAATCAGTAACCAGGCTCATTAAATATTAACCGAAAGACTGAAATACGTTTTCGATTAGGAGGGGTTATTTAAATGGGGTTATAATATTGATTCCTTTATAGCATTATCTCAAGATATTTCAGATATACCAGGATGCCAGATTTTAAATGAACTACGTTCGGTAAGGAGTTGTGGCTTAAGTGGTAGGCATTGTTTTCTATCAAATTTCAATGTGTTCAGTAATTCAAACATACTTTATAGAAAACGTAAGCAAAATATTCTTTTCTGCATTAATTTAGTAGCAAATGAGGTCTTCTTCAAATTTACTATCATAAGGGTATGTTTAAGTTTAAAAAAGGCTTTCAATTTCGGGATAATTTTGCGTCCTATCTGCTGTTCCATTTGTGTTTACCGTTTAAAGTCTACATAGTGGTCACATAACTGTCCAATGGGTGTGGACTATGAATAAAAGCGAACCAGAAACTCGCAAAAGCCTTCCCTGCTGTGTGGGTTCGACTCCCACCGAGGCCGCAAGGTTTTCCACAATTGGGTCAACTGAAAATAAAGTTTATTAGCCTGGCCTTTCGGATCCTCGCTCGAACCCACCATCAGAAACAATCGCAGAAAAAGGGTGTGCAGTATTTATAGTCCGCAGTGGCCACGTGGCCATATCCGTACTACAATTAACAACTCATATGATCATTGCTGGGGGTCGTACTCGATGCGATTATGGCTTCGCAGTCCACCTCCCGAGTCACTAATGACTGCAATTTCACCATCGTCCGTGTTGGATGTTGGCGTGACAATTAGGCTCGCTCTCATCGAAATCGTTGCTGGCCCACGCCCTCCCCTCACATGACTGCTTCCCCCAGGCTCCGGCTCATGTGATTATCGCCTCTTGCGAGCAATTCGGCCTCGTTAAATATGGCCGGATCCCTGCGAGTGAGCGACAGCTGGAGAGCTAGTTTTTTTCTCCCCAACACCACTGCGTGCTCCGCCATTCGCGTCCGGACGCGAATCCGAAACGTCAGGCCAATAAAATTCTTGCTCCAACGATCGCATTTTCCTCCTCTTG